GTTCCTTTATCTGTGTGCTAAAAAATCCACAGTGTTTTCCCACTGCCTATAGATTAAGGTCAATGTTCTTAATCAGCTATTCAAGGCTTTCATAATAGGCACAACCTCTTTTTTATATTCCTCTCCTACACAAAGCCCTAGCCTGAGCCAAATTAGATACTTGTTTTACTGTCTCTCAGACATGTAGTTTTGTGTCCCCACACATTTGCTCAGGTTGTGTTCCCCTCCTGTATGAGTCAGCCATGCTGCAGTCACGGCCCTGAAAATCTCAATGGAAACAACAACACGTGTTTATTTCTTATTCAAGTTATGTGTGTCTTTTTAGTGGGCTTGAGCCCTGTTCCAGGTTCCAACTCTGTGCTATGCACTGCTGTATTCTGAAACCCACATTCCAGAGCCTGCCACTAGCTGGGACATACTATAATCATGGAGAGGGCAGAAGCAAAACATGCAGGCACATTTAAAGCTTCCACTCTGATATGGCATATATCAGGATTCACTCATATTTCATTGGTCAGATCAAGTCACATAGGCAAGCTCAACATGAATGAGCCAATTAAATACTCTTCTGCTATAACTAAGCATTACAAATTACATTGTAACTAGTAAGAGCATATAACCTTCTTATAGGAAAGGACAGAGATTAATCATTGCAAACAAAAGTAAAACCTACCCCACCACCAGAATCATTTTCCCTACTCCTCTTAATACTCGGCCTTCTGTTCAAGCCTTGGTCCAAGTCCCATTGCTTATCCACCTATCTGCCCTACTAACCATATGCTCTTCCTGGAGTACCACTCATCAGTATTACACATTTGGCACTTCCCTTATGCCACCATGCACAACAAGTTTGCCTACCATCTACACATGTTGTATTCATTCCTCACTAGACTATAGCCTTCCTCAGGGTCAGATAAATCTTACAGCTGTTGATGACCTCACTGATTGTACAAGCTATGTTCCCTCCCGCTGAAGAAGATGGTGGTTACATTTTTCTGTTATGGGAAACACATTTCATCTTAAAAGAATAGACTGAGTGTAAAGGAGCATTATTACCAAATTTTAATGTATTCTCCCCTTGTTTACAGCATTACCAAAACCAATACATGGAGATACACCATGTTTACATGTGCATCTGGAGGCTAACCACTTATTAAATAAAACATGTGGCATGAAACTGAACCATGACTACACTGAAGGGGCCTGGGCACCTCCTAGACTTCACCAGAGCCCTGGACATGCTGTGAAAACAGTAACCTCAATAAACAGAAATGGAATGATTTAGCCGAGCGCGGTGGCTCACGCCAGTAACCCCAGGACTTTGGGAGGCTGAGGCTGGTAGATCACAAAGTTGGGAGTTCAAAATCAGCCTGGCCAACGTAGTGAAACCCTGTCTCTACTAAAAATACAAAAATTAGCTGGATGTGGTGGCACACGTCTGTAGTCCCAGCTACTCGGGAGGCTGAGGCAGGTGAATCGCTGGAACCTGGAAAGTGGAGATTGCAGTGAGCCGAGATCACAACACCGCACCCCAGCCTGGGTGACAGAGCAAGACTTTGTCTCAAAAAAAAAAAAAAAAAAAAGAAGAAGAATTGAATAACTTATGTTAATGAAAAGTAGCTGTGCTAAAAATGGGAATTTTAAAAGATGCCTTGGTATTTTTAGATAGTTCTCTTTCAATTCTTGTAACATTAACAGTTTTAGAGCCAGATTAACAAGTCATACTATTCAACAGGATTTTCCCAAAAACGAATTCTTTGCAACAAACCAGCAGGAGGCATAGTCCCACCTTGACAGGGTGCTATTTCTACAAATTCTATTTTTAAAGTTTTATTGCCTTTCTCCCAGCTAATCAGTACCCGGTAATTATTCTTGAATGTTGTATATTCATTTCACTGTATTGCAAAGTAATGCCTTCCATATTTCCTTGTCAGCTGTATTATTTTTTAAAATTGCCACTCAAACACAACTCTGATGTCAGGAGGCGACTTCTGTCACGTGAGATACGGTATCTCCCTTCAACAGCCGATCAGAACCTCCCAGCACCTCCTCAAGCACACCTTCCTCAGGGTCGCATACATTCTCACATTCCTGTGTGGTTCTTTTTCCTTATTTGAAGTTATGCTCATGACTCTGAGCAAGGGAGTCATTACCTCTTCTACCCACAAATAGAATCCATTAAGAGAAAATTCGTTCCAAACTCATCTTTGGGTAGTGAGGAAGACTGGGTAAACCCTCAAAGGTCTAGAGGTTGAATTTCATTTGGAAAAGTCCCCAGGGGTTCAGCTGCTTATCCAGTCCTTATCCGAACTATGAAAGTGGACTAGGGAACGTGCTGACAGGGAGGAATTAAAAGTTCCACCAGGCACCAGTGTAACCCAGTTGCATAGCCCATTGCTGCACACAGCTGCTGAGAAGGAGGGAGGAGAGTGGGAGAAGATGCTGAGGGAGAATGAGTTAAGAAACCTCATTCTTTTGCTTTCAGGAGGCTCGGAGAACAACTGTTCATGTTGTATGTCATAGTGGGAAGTCCTATAATCCTTACTGAGGTTGCTCCTGACAAATAGAGTGTTCATTTGTAAATAAGGTTGAGATGCCTTTCCTAAAAATAATTTATTTTCTGACATGAAGGTCAAAAGCTTTGAAAGGTAGTGAGGCACCATTATTTCCTCAGGCTTTTATTTTTATTTTTTATTTTGTAGAGACAAGATCTCATTATGTTGCCCACCTGGTCATGAACTCCGGGCCTCAAATGAACTTCCTACCTTGGCCTCGCAAAGCAGTGGGATTACAGACATGAGTCACTGTGCCTGAAAAGAATCCTTGGATTCTTAAAAGGTGATGTTTGGAAAGGAAGAAAATTATATTTGGAAAAAGAAATAGACATAGAGGGTTTTATTATGGAATTCTAGCCGGGCACGGTGGCTTGTGCCTGTAACCCCAGCAGTTTGGGAGGCTGAGATGGGAAGATCACTTGAGGCCAGGAGTTTGAGAACAGCCTGACCGACATGGCAAAACTTCATCTCCACTAAAGATATGAAATAATTAGCCAGGCATGGTGGTGCATATGTGTAATCCCAGCTACTCAGGAGGCTGAAGCATGAGAATCTCTTGAAACAGGGAGACAGAGTTTGCAATGAGCCAAGATCACGCTACTGTACTCCAGCCTGGGCAACAGAGCAAGACTCTGTCTCAAACAAAAAAGGAGACTCTGTCTCAAACAAAAAAATTCCAACGAGGCCTATCAGATCAGATACTCATGCTGTGAGGGTAATGAGACTGAAATAATTCATCAATTTAATCACTCACATCAAAGATTCCTTTGCTTTTTCTCAATCAATGTAACTGGCATTTTGATCTGAGCTTTAATAAAAATAAAATTACTCAGATCACTATTTAGTTGAACTAGGTTAATACAGGGAGTTGAAGTATTAAGCCTTAGAATAGTACCTAGAAAGAGAAGCTTCCTTTAAGACATCTGCCAATCCACCTTTTCCTCCCCAGAGCCTCATTCAATCATTCAAGAGAAAAGACAGCTTTCCTATTTTTTAAGCACAGCCATAGGGAAAACAAAATGCTATCCTGTCTCATTGTTAATAACACTCATTAGTGCTGGAAAATTGTTTCTTATGTGTGACTCAAAGAAAAAAATTAACAAATTCTCTAGGCCATCCTTCATAGGGACTGACATCCTATCTCTGAGGTCTAATCCCTCTCACTGGCCTTTCTGGTCCAAAACGGGTGTATAAGGCGCTAAAGATAAGCTAAGGCCTTCCATATGTGTTCTGGAAATCATTCTCTCCTATAAGAAAAAACAAGGCTCTGTTTCAATGGGGACATATCTTTTCAAATCTCCCAAAACTTTGAATAACATTCCCTTAAGGCCAGACCTGGCCATTTTGTTGATGAATAGCACTAAGAAAAAAAAAAGACAGGAGACTTGATTAAAAGAAAAGGAAACTTACATTTTTATATATGTGCTTTTCTAGGATTTACATACACTAAATACATCAGTATTACCCAGATCTCTTGAGAAAAAAAGGAAAACTCTCCAAAAGAGGAAAATTTTTGAACTTTCTTTGAATGTAAAGCACCAAGTCATATAATGCCTGCTCACATTATGTAATTGCCTACAGAAAGTTGACTAAATTAAAAAAAAAAAAAAACTTTTACAGTTCTAGGGTTTTATAAAAGTGTATTGAATAGGTGGGATCCCATTTTGTTGAAATAATACTTCAGAGCATTAGATCTCATTCTGATAGAAAACCAGTTATCTGGGGAAGAAAGGAAAAAAGAAAAGAAAGAATGAGAGTGAGAGAGAGAAAGAGAAGAGAAAAAGAAAGAGAAAGAGGGAAAGA